ATTACCGCGTTACATCACATACTTTTTTGCTCTGTAACTTAGCAAACTTGTTAAATTTGATCACTTATTCTAGGTCGATAACAGTTGGATTGATGCTATCAAACAGAACTTTATTTCTTGCTGGAATCGGTATCTGTGTAATAGTTGCGCTATACTTCAAAGGAAAACTTTCACCATCTACTTTATCGTTCATTACTCCTACACTAAAATCTGTTCAGGTGAGTGACAATTGATATTTATTTTTTGCAACGCTACTTTTTGAATTGAGAAACGTGTCTTTGTTGTATAGAAAAAATAACAAAAATTTTACAAAAACGTGTCAGTTATTACTGATAACAGTATTCCCCATCTCTGTTCTAGAAGTTAAAAAATACATTTTAGAAAAAGCCAGTAATTTTAACGTGGAATAAGTTTTTTGGCAGTCGCCTAGCTCCTGTTATGAGAGATTCCGACTGCCTGCATGAATGCATTGTTACTGAAAACAGAAGGTTGGTATTTAAACTGGTAGACTCAAACGCTGTTGCGCGAATCTGGAAAGAAATTATCTAAGAACAATCTATCTTGAATGTTTTTTATGTTGACTAAAATTTACAAAATTATTTTTATTCATTTTAGCAATTTACAAGTTGCTGATGCAGTTATTTTTCATCTATCTGATATGCGTTCGTATGATTTACCTTCAATTCGTCTACCGAGGCAGTATTATATATTTTTGACCGGTGAGCCGCTCGAATACATAGGCAGAGTTTTGTTCGAAAAATATAAAACGAAAAGTGGTCAACATTATAAAATTCCAGACGATTTTTTCAATCTGACAGTTACATACAGGTAATAATTACTTTTCTTTTTAATCTGCACTTTAATTATATTACTGCGCTTATTGTTAAATAACGGTACATCAAAAACACAAAAGGTATCATTGAAAAACCATTTATCTAACTTCTTTGTCAACTAATTTTACACTGTTTTTCAGGCTAGAACTTTAGAAACTAAACATTTTGTTGATAGCTGTTATTAAAGTGCTTCTTGGCGCATGGCTACTATCTGTTGAACTTGAGTTGAAACTTGTAAAATACTTATTTGCAGTCCCATTTTCAAGTAAAGAAGGGTTGCTAAGTAACGAACTCGTCTTAGTGACTGGTTAAAAGTATACAAATAATTAAGAAATGAAAAAATGTGCGAAAAAGTTGACTAGATATTTACTGCTTTTATGCACAAAAAGGTTGTCTTTTACTTCTTACCAGATTTTCTGCGATAGCAGCAATATGCTTATGAGGAACATTGTTCTGAAATATTTTTTCATCCAGTCCTCCTTTGGTATGACTCTTTGAGCCTATTTAACCAAAAGCCATTTTAAATTTCCTATTTTCGTACAGCAAAGCACAACGATTGAACGCAAGAGGTTTTTAATGACGCAACAACAACAACAACAATGGTTCTTACCATGCAAAGCTCTGCTCGCCTTAGCGGGAAATTAAGAGGGAACTTATAAGTAAATAAAGGCTGCTACAAAATTATGTAATGAATCGCTCCATTTGCGAAAGAAATCAAGTGCTGAATGAAGAATCAAAGGATGCAATTGAAGAATGCTTCTAAGAGAAGCGCTCCAAAGAAAGCGTTTTAGAGGAAACACTCCAGTGAAAAGCACATGTAGAAGGGTTACTGCGCTTTACTTAAATATGCTTTTGGTTGCTAAAGTATTGTCATGTATATTACCACTCTTTTGTACGCCCCGAACAGGATTCCACTGCAGCAGTCTGGGCTATACAAAGGATACTGTTGAATTACTTTTATTTTATAAATGTTATTGAATACTTTTATTGTCTTAAGTATGCGCTCTGCAACACCTGTTGTTGCTTTGCAAAAACTGCTAAATGTTTTGAAAAATAAAAATTTCAGGAATAATTATTTGACTGTTTTTAAGGACAGATTCAGATATATACAGTCCGTATGGTAATTTCCTTCCAATTGAAGACAGTAGGCGAAGGAGTGATCGCGCACGAAATGTAAAGATAAAATTCTTGTCTGAAATAATTTTTTTCCTGCAGCTGCTTTTCTGAATTTTTGACTTTTATTTTATTTAATTGATAGAATTCTTCAGACTGTGAAAACTATTTTTGAACGGCCAAATCTTGTGCTGCAGTTTGTGTCCAATTGTAAAACACCGTCTCGCCGAGAAAAATACATTGAACAATTGAAGCAACACATAAATATTACTCAACTTGGCAAATGTTTTGGTGGACTATGTTCAAAGGAGTGTGCAGACCGTGCCATTGGTATGCCTGAAATACTTTAACGATCCAAAACTGTCACACTGACCTTTTAAAAAATGTCATTTGACATTGCAGCAAAATATAGATAATAATAGTGTTGCAGCTCTTGCCCTACTCTAATCTGGCTTTTATTTGCTGTAAAACTTTTTTGAGTTTTTTATCGGAGGGAAAAACAATTGATTTGCAAAGAGTACTTTCTTAAAACATTTTAAAAGAGTTACTGAAGTTCTTAAAGGTTTGAGACTAATTTAAGAAACTTATCTGCCTGTACAAAACGTTTAAACGTTTACATCTTTGTTGGGAGATGGCTTCTGAGAACAACTTCATTTTAGATGAACACAAATTTTATTTGTCTTTTGAAAATAGTGTCTGTCGAGACTACATTACGGAAAAAATTTATCTTCGGCTTGGAAAAGTGTTGCCAGTTGTTTTGAAGAGGTCAACATATTCCGGCTTTATTCCGGATGACGCTTTCATTGCAGCAGACGATTTTAAGTGTCCAGAAGATTTGGCAAAACATCTTAAATATTTGGGTAGTAATTATACTGCGTTTTCTAAGTAAGTATTTAAAATCTTTTGTTTGTTTTTCAGATTTTATTAGTTCAAGTAATATGTAACAAAAATTTTTTTCACAATTCTTAGTAAACAAGACACTAAGATACTTCTACACATACAATTAGCACATGACGTGTTATCAAACTCAGTTTTAATTTCAGTATGTAAAAAGTTTTTTTCAGTTTCTGGTTCAGATTCAATACGTCAAAATTGAATTAAAAAATTTATTGATTAAATTGCTTTGGCTTTCACTTTTATGTCAACTTTGATTAGCTTATTGTGAATAAACATTAGATTACTGTTGAGAACCTGAGAAAGTGAACAGGTTTTTGTGTCTGACAAGCAATCGCTTTTATAACTATTATAAACAGCATGGCCAGCAGAAAATAAATAGGTGTTTAATCATACAGTAACTTATAGAAAAAACGCAGTTTTTTTTTACAAGAAATACATTGGTTTTCAGGTACTTCGAGTGGACAAACCGTTGGAAATTAGAGAGACTAAGTGAGCCATGTCTTCTGTGCAAATTTCTACATGAAAAAAATGGTACTGTGAAAATTTTGCGAAACGTTAGGGAGTGGTGGTATGACGAAAAAAGATGTGATAAGCATTACGCAGAGCAGTTAATCTGCCGCTGAAAGCAAACGGAAATTTTCGGTCAAATCAACTCAGTAGTGGAAATGCTTAATTATCCGCATAAAACTTGATGACTCCAGTAAAGAACTGGTTTTGACTGTAATTATGAAATTTTCTTTCTCTCAGCCTTAAATTCTCTGTGTGCAGCTTACAATCATGACATTCTGAAGGTTTATTCAAAATTTTATATGTTTGATTAAATTTGCCGGTTATAACGATTTTCATCTAGAGAAAAAATTTGTGTTTATAATAAGTTCATTTGTTTCTGTTATTCAGAATCTGAGTCTCCAGCGCCGGAATGAAAAAAATGCATTTTTGACTCAGAAGGTCATTGTTAGCAAATATGAAAAAAAAAAATGAAATAGCTTGTTTACTTTATTTTGAAACGTTTCAATCTTTTCCAATCTAAACTTATAGTAAACAATAAATAAGTTTAGGTACTAATATTACCTACCTGTCATTTGCATACC